CCTCGGGAGCCTCTCGAAACCCCCTAGTTCCCGACCCTCCCTGCCGGCCCATGCACCCCCACTCCCTCCACCCCCTCACCTCCCCCCTTGCGTCTCTCCGGCCTCCGAGATCCGGTCCCAGGGCGGAGATAGCCCCTGTTGTGCAAGAGCTCCGGGCACCCACGCACCTCACCCACCCCGCCCGGTTTTCCCCAGGGGTGGACCTGCCGGCAGGCCTCGGCAGCCCCCACCCCCTTGGGACTCCTTGTGAGGGGGCCCTGGACTGTGCCGGCCGGGCTGTTGGTGGGTGCAGGGCTCCGGGTCGGGACTAGGAGTGCCCAGCACCAGCCTCGGGCAAGCGCGGGTGGCCCAGGCCTGCTTCTTCCCAGGCCGGTGTAGACAGTCTCGCTGTGGTTTGTTGCTGTGGCGTTTGGGTGGACCCACCGGACACAGAAGTCTCAGAACGGGTCGGGGGTGGTGAGGGGGTGTACTTAGTGCTTGGGCCCTGCCCCTCACCCTGCACCTCTGTGTGCCGCCTCCTGCAGGAAGCCTTCCTGGACGGGCCCTTCCTACCCCTCCGCTCGGACTGCTTGACAGATTTGGGGGGTCCGTGAGCTCAAGAGCCCCAGAGCTTCCTGCCATGGGCTCCTCTGCCCAGCAACCTAGAAAAAGAAGGAAGGGGTCTCTCTGCACCCACCATGACCTGTGCTGGGGCTCAGGGCTGGGGTGAGGCTGGGCCCCAAAGCTGGTGGAATGTTCTGGGGCATAATGGGGTTCTCTGGGCCGTGCCTGTTCCGGGGAGCCCCCTTCATGTCCGACTTAGGCCCCTGGCCCTGCCTGCCGGCCCAGGGCTGTGCCCTGTGTTGTGGGAGAGCATGGCAGCCCAGAGCTGGTGGGGCGGTGGGAGGGGGGGGTTACCACCGGAGAGCCCGAGAGCGCCCCTCTTCTGCCCTGAGGGGAGAGTCCCCAGGAGGGTAGGGTCAGCACCCCACCTGGGCCTGCTGGGTATTTTTTTGTGGCGTGACAGCTTTTAGGAATCCCTGGAAGACGGCACGAGCGAGTGGGCTGGCAGATCTGGGCCTCCCACCTCCTGCCACCCCACCTACCGGGGGCCACCTCAGTCTGGGGGGGGGGGCCTGAGTCCTGGCAGGGATTCTTTGCCCCAGGAGGGGAGAGAAGTTACTGACAGAAACAAGGTTTGGAATGTGAGTCCCCCTCCCCCGCCGGCCGCCTGCCAGGAAGGAATTATTTTGGATTATCCAGCCATGTCCAGCCGCCCAAAAAGGGAGGCTGCAGCCTGGGAGAGGGATCCACTTCCGGGGCCGCTGGTCGAGAGCCCCAGGAGGGCGGGACTGGCAAGTCTGGGCAGCTCAGCCACCACCTCCCCCGCTGCTCAGACTGGGTGGGGGCGGGGTGGGAGAGGATGCGTCACCCTCGGGTCAGAGAAGGCCCCAGGTCAGTCCCAGTGGGGCCTGCTGAGCGAGGCTGGGGGGCGGGGGGGTGCTGTGGGCAGGAAGAGCCCTGGCCCTGTCCAAGGCGCCTGGCTGGAGGACCCCCTTCACCCCCAGAAGCCCTCACTCTAGGGCCTCGAGGCCGCCTCCAGAGCCAGGCTCAGAGACACACCTTGGGCGGGTCACTCACACTCCATACTTCAGAGGTGACAGGGAACAGGTAGGGGTGTGACTGAGGCTGCCTGGGGTGGGGCCCTGGGGACTCCTACGGGGCTGAAGCTCACTCAGGCCACCCGCCTGCCCCCCGACTGCCCCCTTGACCAGCAGCTGACGGCACAGCCTGTCTAAGCCCCGCTGAGAGCCCAGCTCTCATCCCTTACACTGCCCCGCTTGGATGTGCTGCCTGTCAGCTGGGCCCACGGGTGGGCGGGCTGAGGCCATGGGTGGGTCCCTGTGAGCAGCCATGTGGGGCGCTGCCTCTGCCAGGTGGGCCGCCTGGGTCCATGCTGTGTGTGCCTGCAGCCATGCCCCCAGCAGCCCCTGCGGGGACCCCACTGAAGATGGTAAGCTGGCATCTGGGAAGGAGTGGAGGAGGCCCAGGGCCTGGCCCTAGCCCAAGCAAGTAGAGCAGAAGAGATCGGGTTGGAAGGCACCAGGGTGGGCTGGCAGCCTGCAGAGGGTCCATATGGCCTGGCTCCTCTCCCCCAGGAGGGCCAGGCTCAGGCGCTTGTGTCATCCAAGGACCTAGGCCATTGTGGGGACGTCATGGTGTTCTGCTGCCTGCCTTGTGCTGTATCCTGGGTCCAGAGCCGACGACCCCCTTGGGACATTGGGTGTGACGGGAACACTGGTGGGGAGAGGCTGTGGGTGCCAGCGTCCTCCCACGTGGCCCCGTCTCTGATCTGGGAAGAGCCACACTGAAGTGCCAGGCCCCCTCCCACCCACGAGCAGGAAGTCCTTACCCGTGTCATGCCTCGGTCCTCCTTGCTGCACCCACAGGCCGCCGGCCCCCCACCTTGGCCTGGTGGGTGGGGAGTAAGCGTGTTTTCCAGTTGAGAGGGGGGCTCCACTCCCTCGGAGGTGGAGGCGGGCTCTCTGCCAGCTAGAGTCACCAGCGGGGTGCAGGGGCTGGGCAGAGCCTCCCCCAGAGGCCGATGGCTATTTGTGTTCGGGGTGGGGACTGGCGCTAATTGTCTTTGGTCTCAAATGACAGACCGGGGAAGGTAGGAGCAGTGGCCTGCAGTCGGCTGGCGGGTGGGGGGCACTGGGGTGCGTGGGGCTTGAGGGAGCACAGCACCTGCGCTTCCCTTTTCTCTCTGGGCCGCGATGTATGTGGTCCCTTCACGTTCTTCCCCTTGGTGGTTTCACATCCTGACAGGCTCTGGCTTCTTTCTGCCCCTGCAGAGACGCGCACCTCGGCCCCTGCTGGGCAAGAACCGGGCCCTGTCCCGGGTCCCCCTGCCACAGGCACAGCCTCAGGCCAGGCCAGGGCCAGCTGCTCTCCAGCCCTCCCCTGCCTCAGGGAGCACAGAGTAGGGGGGCCCCTGCCCTCCGGCCCCAGGGCCCCCCTGTGTTGGGCCTTTGTTCCTCTGCTCTGGTACTCAGAAACCTGTGACAGTGACTGGAGCCGGGCCCCCAGATGGAGCCCGGGTCGCCAGGGACGGTAGCCAGGCTGCTCATGGGGATATCTGCAGGTCTGTCCCGCGTGGGGCCCCACAGCAATGTCCGTGTCACGGCGAGAAGCCCAGGGCTGGTCTGGGGCTGGAGTTTCTGTTTCTCACCCTTGTCGCCCCTGAGCACCCGTTGCACACAGACTGGCCCACCCGCTGCTGTCCTCCACTGTGGCTTCCGCCCACCTGAGTGCCTGGTGCTTCATTGGCTGTGCGCTGGGCTGGGATCAGGGGCGTCTGCAGACAGGGCCTGGCTCTGTGCAGACACCCTCTTTTCGTGCCCCGAGACTGTGTGACTTCTCAGAGCAGGCAGTTCCCCATCCGGCTGCC